CTCGGGGGTGCGATTCGCCGCAAGACTGAGGGGAGACAAAGAACCAGTTCGGGGAGTCCGTGATACTATCTCGACCTAACCATGAATAATATCTTCGGCCGCGACGGGCCCGCTGAGGCGGAGACAACAGGGACTGTGGAACACAGCCCGGGGTCCACCCGAGCACCCACAACAGAGGTGCTGCCCCAGGATGCGATGACCATCAACGGGGATAGCCCCGTCGCCTTCAGCAACATGACAGTGGACCATGAGGGCAACTTTCCTCAGAAGCGCAGAGCACAAGCTGTCCCTACGAGCCAGCCCGCAGCGGGGACATCACCAGTCACCGTGGAGGCGATCGCCCAGGCCCTCCGCGAGGAGCTGCAGGCGGGGTTCGCGACCCAGCAAAGCCGCCTTAGCAAGGAAATCCGGGAGGAAATCGGGGACGCCATGCTCCAGGTCAACAAGCGCATCGAGGCAGTTGAGAAAGGGGTCACGCGCCAACTCCAGCAGGTCTTCACCTCAGTTCAGGAGCTCTCGGTGTGCCAGGAGAAGCAGGCCGTCACACTGGTGCAGACAGGGGCAGAAACGCAGCAGCTCGTTCGCCGTGTGCTCGCCCTGGAAGAACAGCTCGCCAAGCTCGAGAACCGACCCTCACCCACGGGGACAACGGAAGAGCCCACCCGGCGCCCGGCCTTCATTGTCGGGGGATGGGACAGCAATCAGGAAGCCAAGCAAACCCTCGACAAGGCCAAGGCAATACTCAAGGACCTCCAGGCGGATGTCGACCTCGAGGACGCCTTTGTACCGGGGCTCAGACGGGGCTACATCATCGTGCCGATGGTCGCCAGGCCGCAGGAGACCGGGGAGGAGATGCGTGGCAGGATTCAGCAAGCCGTCCTCAGAGTCCGCACCGCCAACATCGAGTTGGGCACCAAGGAGGATGGTAGCCCGTCCCGGTTATGGATGGCAGTCAGCCAGCCACCAGAGCGACGTAAGAAGGCTCAGCTCGCGGCTAAGACCAAGAGGCTCCTGCTCGAACTCCACGGGGACCATGGGCGGCTGGACGTGGAGTGGTCCACAGGTTCCGTGTGGCACAAGGACGTCAAGGTGGCCTCAACGAGCGGGACGCGACCGGCATCCGCTGTTGAAGCCGGGCCAGGCTGGATCGACTTGAAGGAGATCGCCAAGCAGCTGCGCACGGAAGGGGACACCGTCAAGGACACGTGGAAGCCGCTTGCGGCGCGGCTACGTTGACTACAAGAACCACGGCAGCAGTCTCACCGCAAGCGAGGACCTCCTCAAGGAGAAAACCGCCACCTTTCAGCGGCAACCTCGGGGGCGTCACTCCGGAGAAAATACTGGAGGTGATCCTGCCCGCGTTTCGGGGACACCCGCCCCCTTGACACAGTAGACGTTTGGTTTTTTACTGACATAAGCAGCTCAAGTCATGACGCACCGCGTGCAGTAGAGTAAGGGAGACAAGCATACAAACACCGACCCAAACCACGAAGCAGCAAGCAGGGGCCTCAGTGTGTGAC